TAGAATTTTATAAATCCTCTGAAAATGATAAACTTTTAAGTAAAATAAATTCAAATTTGGAGAAAAAGGCATGGGATATTTTAAATAGTATTAATTATAGTCGATCTTTATTTGCAGATTTTGTATTTGTGAATTTTCCTACTCAATAAAATTTATGTTTTTAATCCTGCAAATCAACACTCTCAGCACTTTCACAGTCATTTTCAGAAATGTACAGACCTGCAGAAAATTTGTGTCTTGACATGCCATTTCCAGCTAAGGTCAAATAAGGTGATTCTCCACTTTTTTGTTTTAGCTCTCATATTGTGTCCTTTTTGTGATCTTTTTAGTGGCACATTTTTTAATCTTTTGTGCTCTTTTGTTGATGATTTCATTGTTTAAAATGGCCCCCACATTTATTGCTAAAGCACTGTTTAGCCTTCCTAAGTGCAAGAAGGCTGTGATGGTGCTTTACAGAGAAAATGCCTATGTTAGATGAGCTCTGATCAGATTTGAGTTCAGTGTTAATAAATCAACAGTGTATATTAAAAGTGTCTTTTAATAGAAACACACATAAAACAAGCTTATATGTTCATCAGTTGGCAAAAAATGTAGCCAGAAGCATGTGGGAACCTAACCCCTCCATGTCTCCTAGGAACAATGGTTCATATTGGCTAATTTACTGTTTGCAGTGACTTTATAGAACATAACTACCATGAATTACAAGAAATGACCATATTTCTTTTATTTGTACATGAAATAGACTAACTGTGCTCTTGTAAGAGTATTGTTTCCTGGAAGTGTCTATATTCCTCAACCTGTTTTTTTTTTCCTCAGTCTGTTTTGAGTGAACAAATTATTAGCAGTGGTTTAATCGCAATCTATATTTGTACCAAAACTGTTTATTTCAAATACAAAAGTTTTTTTGTGTTTAATTTTTTTCAATTTGAAACTCTTTGTATATTCAGTGATTCCACTATGCAGCTTGATATTTTTTGGACTGATTTCCTGGCACAAATGACAGTCCTGTATCTTTTATGATGTATGTTTTAATGTTGAAAATCTTTATACTAAGATTTTATTAAAACTTTAATAAGTCATCTGAAAATTTTGTATTTTAAAGTCAGATTTTGATCAATTCAGTCCACACACCTATTTTCAAGAATTTTGAAATCATGTAAGACCCCAGCATGAAACTGTCATCATATTTTACATCTCTTTTAGAGGCAGATGTTGACACATTACTAATAACACAAAAATCTGTTTCATGCCATTGTTATTGGCTCTATCATAAGACATGCTGAGGTTTGAAATTTTTTGTAGAATATAACCAGGCTTTTTCACTTTTCAGGTTTGGGTCTGGTTAGTTGGTTGGTTGGTTGGTTGGTTTGGTCATCAATATAAAAATTGTATTTATGAGGAAAAGAATAACTATGGCTGAAATATGAACTAAAGGAGATGAAGAATTATGGGTATCAATATGAACAAATGAGTTTATTCAGTAGGCATAACATCTGGACAACTGAAGAATCATTAAGTTTGCCAAAGTTCTCATTTTCACTTTATGAAAATATGGTCTTGTCACAACAAACTAATAGCTAATATTTTCGTAGCTATGGAATGAACTTTATATGCATTATCATTCAATACAGCAACCTCTTGAACTATAGATATTATTATGTAATATGCAAATTATCACATTATATCTGAAGAAACCAAAGCTTAGAATAGTAAATAAATTCCCCAAGGTCCTATAAGTAAATAACAGTGCAGTCAGGATCTAAACTCAAGTCTGTTTGATGTCAGAGTCCACAATATTGTGCTTCCTCCATGACTTACTTCACAGCTTCTGCAATGGATATCATGTCATTGAGTTTTATCACTTTTCTGACAGTTCCACCCACATTTCACATTCCTGTTACCCTAAGGAGAATGGAGATGGAACTCTATAAACACCCTTTCCTTTCTCCAAAGCGTAAATTTGATATTAATCTTCCCCAAGTGGTTTATTATACTTTGGTTTTGCCCAGTATCAAGAACCTGCTTTAAAGGGAAAGGGGCATTTCAAAAGGGCAATTTGTGGTATTATTCATCAGTAGAATAGAGAATGAAGTTTCCTTTGTCTGAATTATGTGCACATAAGACTCAAGCTTCCACCCTCCCCATCACGTTTTTTTTCCCCCTTCCAAGAGCCAGCTGCTAGCTTTACCTCTTTCTACCTGCCGGATGCTTTCTGAATCACATTATCCAGTGCTCAATTTAAGTGATCCCCATTAAAGTCCAGAGCCTAGGGAAATCACCCTGATTCTGCGTTCCCTGGCAACATCTCTGAGAATAACAACAGCTGCTTAACAGCTGCTTAACCAGAAAGATGCTGCAGGGGAAATACACAGAAATTGATATCAAATGCCTTAAATCTTGAGACTTCAAACATTGTAGTTACCATGTTGTATTATTTACTTTTAGTGGTATAAAAACAAAAGAAAAAAATAATCATCAGAAAAGGACAAGATATGTTAAATGACCTTAGCAAATAATGTGATTCTAGATATTTTCTTGCTAAGATAAACAGAGAAATAGTCATGATGGACATAATGATCTTTATGATTTCCAATCTTGAAATGTTAATTTGTGTCAATTAAGTTATACTTATGTTGTAATATGACATGGCGTATTTAAACATTTAGCAAACAAACTTCCTTACAAATTTCTGTTGATATTCTTTATTTTTTCTGTTAATAATTTTTGCTCTCTTTAGTTTGCCTTTTCCAGAATGTCATATAATTGGAATCATACACTATGTACTCTTTTCAGATCATTTTCTTTCACTTAGTAATGTGCATTTAAGTTTCTTCCATGTTTTTTCATGGCTTCATAGCTCATTTTTTTTTAGTTCTAAATATTTCATTGTCTGGATGTACCATAGTTTATCCACTGACCTATATTGAAGGATATCTTGGTTGCTTACAAGTTTTGGTAATTATGCCTAAAGTTGTTACAAACATTGTGTGCAGGTTTTTATGTGGATATAAGTTTTCAGCTTATTCAGGTAGATACCAAGGGTCACAAATGCCAGATCATATAGTAAAAGCATGTTTAGTTTTGTAAGAAACTGCCAAACTGTTTTCCAAAGTGACTGTACCGTTTTGCATTTCCATGCCTTTGCCTGCATATGGTGGTGTCAGTATTTTGGATTTCAAGCATTCTAATATATGTGTAATATTTACTATTTCATTGTTTTAATTTGAGATTGTAGAATAACACATGGTGTGGGGTGTCTTTTCATATGCTTATCTGCTACCAATATATCTTTTTTGGTGGGACATCTGTTGATCTTTTGCAACTTTTTAAGTGAGTTGTTTTCTTATTGTTCAATTCTAAGACTTCTTTGTACATTGTAGATACCAGGCCTTTGTTAGAAGTGTTTTGCAGAGATTTCCTCTGGCTCTGTATTTTCAATCTCTTAATATTCCATATTAAAAATACAATTTAATTATTATGACCTAATCACTAATTTAAGAACTGCTACCATTATTGTGGTATGTATTGTAGAGATAAAAGATTTTTTTTGTTTCTTTGTAAAAATTAATTTCCCCATATTTAAAAATTATTAACCTATTCCTTCTCTTTGTACCCCCCATCCCTTTATACTTAAGCTGCTGTGATTCCAAGAAGTTCACTTAAAGGAGAAGAGTGAAAAATTATCCTGGACTGTTTTTCTGTTCTAATCAACAAGTAACCCATTACAGTGGTCATTATCCAGATAATAGCCAATAACTCAGTAAATATACATGTGGAGCATGCCTTTTTAAACACTGAAAAAAAATATCTTTGACATTCTTTGAAATGCTACTCAATTTTCAAATTGTTCCTAATATTTAAAATTTCTAGTCACCCTTGGTTTTTTCTTTTTTCTTTCCTTTTTTGTTAGTTCTCATTGTAAACAGCTAATTAAAACTGTTTTAAAGATAGGTCATGCTATGAAATTTATTTTAATGATTTTATATGAAAATCTGATTTCCCCCCAAATTTTTAAATTACAGACATACACATATTAGTAGTCAACTCAGATTTATAAAACAAGAATATTTTTATTTGGAAAAGAGATCCTAGAAGTCTCTATTAATTAAAACCTCTTCTTGATTTCATTTTTCTCAATGAGTTTATTTGCCTAGGAGAAGTTACTTACTCCAAAACCAAGATCAAACAGGAAGTCTAGGCCAGTAGTTTCCTAACATTTATATACTAGGCAGTCTAATATTTCTTAACAGATAAACATAGAGCTACTGATTGGAAGTCAAATGGAGATAGATGAGGCTGGTACATACTTTCTTCTTTATCTTTTCCCAAGCATCTCTGAGGAATCCACAGGGTTATATGGAGAAGAACTGGAACATTAGTCTAAATTATGATTTTTATTTAAAGCAACAACAAAACCAAATAGTCATTACTAAGTTATTTATCATGGAGTTCTAGGTGTCTAATTTATAAGGTTTCTGAATTAGACTTCAGGGCCTATGTTACATTTTATTACAGTCTACAACTTAAGTGTAGACTGGCAAGAATTAAAGGAAAAACCTGTTTCACAGCTGTTATGCATCTGGGAGTTTGGTTAAAAGGGGCTAGCTTAGCTTAGCCTGGGTTGTGATAAAAAGCAGGGTCTAGAGGCCTTTTAACTAAAGTCCTGTGCTCTGATCAGAGCTGTATTTAATACTGGCCCATAAGTCCACATAATTATAATTTGTAAGAGCCTTTAGGACATCAGTAACTTTTAAATCTTACCATGTGAAAAATGATTATGTCACCTGTGGACTTTAAAAGTAGTCAGCAAACTGGGATAAAGGTGATGATCAAATCAAGTATTTCTGCAACTTTCTCTGTCCAAGTTTTGTACTTTGGATGTTCCAGCTCTTTGTAATATGCCACTCCTTTGAATATGCTTTAATGAAGAATGCCAATTCTGGTAAATTAATGCTTCGTGTCACAGTTCACCTTCTTACTATATCCTGGCTTTCTCCCAGGCTTGCAGATGGGTCAGGGGCTGTGGAGAGTGGCCAGAAACCAGCAGCTACAGCAAGAAGGTTATAGTGAGCAAGGCTACCTCAGAGACCAGAGCAGGAGGATGGCTGCCAACAACATTTCTAACACCAGTCATCGTAAACAAGTCCAAGGAGGCATTGATATATATCATCTTTTGAAGGCACGGAAATCTAAAGAACAGGAAGGATTCATTAATTTGGAAATGTTGCCCCCTGAGCTAAGCTTTACCATCTTGTCCTACCTGAATGCAACTGACCTCTGCTTAGCTTCGTGTGTTTGGCAAGACCTTGCAAATGATGAACTTCTTTGGCAAGGGTAAGTTCAACCTAACATGTTTGATTCAGATATCTCTAAAGGCAGTCATGCTTAAATGTTATTTTTATAATAGACATATATTATGATGTATTTCTTTTTAACCTAGGTTTGTATTTTGACTTGCTCTTTATTAAAACCTGTCGAGATAATGAATTAGCATCACAGTCAAATTTGATATTGGGGAAAGAAGGACAGTATAAAAGAAAATGACTCTGTAGTTAGAAGATAAGTTACCAATCAAGAGATGTCAGTTTATTATAAATCAGAAGTTATCAGTTTATTTTAAAAATACAAGTTGTTGGGGTACCTGCCAATCTTGGTCCGTAGAACATGCAACTAACTCTTGATCTCAGGGTTATTAAATTTGAGCTCAACATTGGATGTTGAGATTACTTTAAAAAATAATTTTAAAAAATTCAAAAATAAAAATACAAGTTAAGTGAGAATTTATAATTCCAAAATTTAGAGTGTTCACACCCCGGTATAGTTTGTGCTTCTGATATGAAGGTTATGTTTACTTATTTATATATTTCTTTCTGTCACAGAGGTGCTTGTTAACATAATCTGTGGTGACTGTTTCATCTACTTTTTATTTTTTCTAGCCAACATTTCATCAATGAAGGCAAATAGAATGTAAGGAGATAATCTGCTTGCTGAAGTAAAAGTAGACTATAGAAATTATAGTAGCAATTATACCAATTTAACCTATAAATTTAAGAATGTTTGGAAGATAATCTATTTTATGTAACTGAAGTTACTCTTTAAATAAGATCATATACTTGAGTTGTAAAAATGTTACCAAACTTAGAAGAGTTACTGGATCTTGAGCTTTCTAGAATTCTTTACTAAGGCATATTTACTTTTTTTATATAAATTTATTTTTTATTGGTGTTCAGTTTGCCAACATATAGAATAACACCCAGTGCTCATCCCGTCAAGTGCCCACCTTCGTGCCCGTCACCCAGTCACCCCCATCCCCCGCCCACCACCCCTAGTTCGTTTCCCAGAGTTAGGAGTCTTTCATGTTCTGTCTCCCTTTCTGATATTTCCCACTCATTTTTTTCTCCTTTCCCCTTTATTCCCTTTCACTATTTTTTATATTCCCAAAATGAATGAGATACTAAGGCTTGCTTATTTATTGATTGATTGATTGATTGATTGATTATTTTAAATGGGACTTTCTAATGATGTGAAAAGACAAAAAGCAAAGATCTTTTTGTTACTTTAAATAATTTCCAAGTGAAAAACTAATTGAGGGAATTAATAAATTATCCAAATAGCCAAACTTTAGTAAAAATGTATTACCAAAAATGACGTTTCTAACTTAGGCTTTCTGATGCTACAGAATTACAGTATTAATTATATAGTTAATCTCAGCCTCTAAATAGGTAAAAATCATCAGCATCACCCTGTTACTCTCTCATTGTCTTATTATAGGGAAGGTACTGTGGAAGTGAGAAAAAATTTTATTTGTGGTGCTTATGGTTATTTCTTAATAAAAGAACAAATAAAAATGCTTTAAAACTGGCTCATTTAAAATTTCTTTTCTGCATTTTAGTATTCCCAGAAACCTTAATTTGTAATCCTGTATTTGAACTCTGAAAAAAAGTTTATTTCTAAGTTATCTGACCTCAATCAGAATGTATTCTTTATCTGGGATTTAAATCTGGATGTTCATTTCTGAAAGGAATGCTTCCTATATTGTTACCACATAATAATATGCCTATTTTTATGACATATTTTTTTAATGATAAATTGCTTCTATTTTCAATTGAAGGCTAGCTTAGTCTTTATTTTAACTTTGGATGTGTTGAATATTTATTAATGTTGAGAGGTTCTGTTACTTTGATATAACCAGTAATAAAAGTCAAAAGCAATAAAACTAAAGGGTTTGCTAAAATATTGATGTCTAAACAAGCTCCTAAACTTGCTATATTAGAATCAATGATTTAATTTGGTTGGTAAAAATAATGCAAGGATATAAATTAACTATTAAGATATTCTTATATTAAATTACATACTTTATCCACTATCCTCACAATTTTTCATGTTACAGGCTGAGACAGTAACTTCTTCGTGTTACCTATATACATTAAATAATTTCTAAATGAAAAACTAATTGTGTGTGACAAGAAATTTAGCCAATATTCAATAATGAAAATCAGAAAATGAAACTACTTTAATAATATCTGTCACTACAAGTAGGTGTTTTTGAACACGCAAAAATCAGATAATTTTGAGACAGAGTCATTGAAAGTGCACTAAAATATTTCAGTATTCTCTGTGTCTCTAGAGTATTGCACTTCTATTTAATGATCTATGGTCTAATGATCAAGAATTTCTAGGCATTGTAATAAGAAAAAATGTCTATGGCCATACCACCCTGAATACACCTGATCTTGGTAATAAGAAAAAAATAAGATTAAACTTTAGCTTTCAAATAATAACCAGTAGCTAATGTCTCTGTACAGAGTTGGACACGACTATCCCAATCTGCAAAAAAAATGTGTTTTGATACAAACTATTAGCATTTTAGGTTTCATATAATTTTTAAGCAATCATGTATCACTGTGATGGTAAAAAACTGTTTTGAAGCAGTATCTTAAAAGCATCTATGCTTAATATCACACATAGTTTTTGATGTATGTACTGAAGTTATAGCATCATAATTTCTATGTTTAGTTTGCCAGTTATCAGTATGTATGTATGTGTGTGTGTGTATATATATATATGTATATATATATATATATATATATATATATGTAAAAAAAATAAAGTGCTGCCCCTACCTAGCAATCTTTACCTCCATTCAATTTTACTTTGCAATAGAGCATATAGTTACTTAATATTGTTTAGCTTCTTGGTTGAGATTGCTAACTATGGAGTAAGATTCCTTGGGTTTAAGTCATCTTTTTAATCTTTTATTGTGTCTATGTTTATCTTTAGCACCAACATCATTGTGTTGTAAAGATTAAGCAAGTTAATACTATTATAATTTTTAAATAGCACCTGACATCTAGTAAGCACTGAATATTATAAATAAATAGGCTATCATTGCTATTATTAGTAATAGTTTATATTTAACTTCAGACAGTACTCATGAATATTATTAATCTTTATAACTCATGTTTATTAATACTATCAGAGTTGCTAAATTGAAGTCATTTGTCAGTCATACTCTAGTAAAAAACAAGTACAGAATTAAACATTTTCAGCTTTAGATGTAAATTTCATGTTACTGTTTTATCATGTATATATATAATGTTTTCTGATTTTATCTTTTATAGGTTGTGTAAATCCACTTGGGGTCACTGTTCCATATATAATAAGAACCCACCTCTAGGATTTTCTTTCAGAAAATTGTATATGCAGCTGGATGAAGGCAGCCTCACCTTTAATGCCAACCCAGAGGAGGTAAGTGAAGAACTTGAATATTTGTAACAGTTGAACTTTATTACTCTCTTGCTGCAGCTTTCTAGTACAATAAACTTGCAAGTAAAGTAACAGTCATTGAATGTTCCTTCTCAATGAGGAAATTACTGAGAAGCCCACTAAGTTGAAGTTAATGCTATATAACATAGTCATTTCTCTTTCCTTTATCAACTCACATTTTAAACCGACCTGCCCATGTTGTATGGCAGCTTCCATGACATATATGCAGTCCTCTACTGGAACTGATTGAAATACCACTCTTATATGTGGAGAGCACAAGATAAGTTCATCAGATTTATCTGCAGCATTTTCTTCCTGTTTGATTTTTCTATTTAGTAAGGATGCAACTTTTATCAGAGACAATCACAAAGGACATTGTTCATTTGCGACACATCAAAATGCCTTTAACAGTCCATGTTTCCATAGACACTGCTTTTAGATTGTTATAAAATTGAATAATTTTGTATTAACTAATTATTTCTTACTGTAACATATAAGAATGATCAAAATGTGAAGACAGTTCTTTCTTTTTTTTTTTTTTTCTATATTCTCATTTTAATATATCCTGGAAAGGTCAGATCCTCAGAATTGCTTTTTCCCCCTCAGAAATGTTTAAATGTCTACTAGACTTATTCTTAGATATCTAATGGAAATTATAAAGCACTCAAAACTACTACTTCTAGGTGAATTCTTTTCTCTGGAAAAATTTAACTGCCAGTTATTTTCTTTTATTTAATTTTCAAAACCAACTTTTTTTTTCATTCATTGTAGAGGTAGTAAGGACTATTTAAATTATGCAGCCAAATATTTTTTAAAATATCTTAACTCGGGATGTGTGGGTAGTAGCTCAGTTGGTTAAGCATCTGCCTTACACTCCGTTCATGATCCCAGAATTTTGGGATCTAGCCCTGCATCTAGCCAGGCTCTTCCTCAGCGGGGAGCTTGCCTTTCCCTCTCCCTCTGCCATTCCTCCTGCTTGTGCTCCCTCACTCTCTGTCAAATAAATAAATAAATAAATAAATAATAAATAAATAAATAAAATAACGTTTACTATGTTATAGTTAGAAACATGTTTCCCCATGCACTGTATTTGAATATTAAACAGAAATATTGATTTTATAAATAGGCATATAATACAAATAACATTTTAAAAATTAAATTGACTTTTTGCTTCTTACATACGATTTCTTAACTTTTCTTATGCACGAATAAAAATATAACACCATTGCAAAAGTGTACTGATACACCATACATTATCAGTTAAGTTTTAGCCCCACAAATATAACAAAATATATATATTATAAAGCCTGATATAAATATTTGAATTAAGAAACCTGTTCTCTCACTACTGTTTAATAAGAGTTTTGATGTTCAGATTGAATAGAAAACTGATACTTAATTTAGAAGACAAACAAATGAATAAACTATCACAAATTTAGGTTTTGGGGACGCCTGGGTGGCTCAGTGGTTAAGCATCTATGTTCAGCTCAGGTCATGAGCCCAGAGTTCCAGGATCGAGTCCCACATCAGGCTCCCTCCATGGAGCCTGCTTCTTTCTCTCTCTGCCTATGTTTCTGCCTCTCTCTCTGTGTCTCTCATGAATAAATAAATAAATTTTTTTAATTAAATAAATAAATTTAGGTTTTATAACATCCTTTTATGGCAATTTTTTTTTCTGGTGTATTTATTTTATCATAAAATACACTTGTTCTTATTTTTGGTAAAATTTAAGTTCTGTTCCTTCCAAATTACAGCAATAGTCTCCATGTCACTTTCTGAGCTTACACTATGGCATAGCTCTCAGTTCAAGAGATTCTTCTATACTTATATGTTTGAATAATGGCATGGTTTCAGAGACTTCATTATTCATGTTTATTAGAATTAGATATTACTTGTAGCTAATTAAAACAGTTCCTATGATGAGCTTTATAATAAGTTACATATTTTGCATTAGTGTCTTAAGTTAGTCAAATGATGATTACTGGAGAACCTTGGCAGAATAGTACTGTGTTTAACTCTAGGTACATAAGAATCAGGAAAGGCAGCTATTACAAGCCCCAGTCTTATTATGCCCAATTTATCAAGGCATCTGGTTCCTGTTATAAATTATACTGATAATGAGTAAAACTATCATCTTTAATTCATATCACTTGCAAATGTCATATTCTAAGGAAAGAATAACTTGGTAAGTACTGAGTTGTAGATTTACAAAGTCAGAAAAGTTGGATGTAACTGCTGATATTGATTATGGTAAGTAGCATTCCTTGCTAAAGGAATACCTATTTTTAAAACAAATTATGAGGCCATCATTTTTATGTAAAGATGAAACCATAGATAGGCCCTTATATACTAGAATATGATATGGATTGGTTTAAATATCTAAATTGAAAAAGCTAGATGTCAAAATATGTTTCCATCTTTGCAGCTACATATGTCAGACTATAGAATTCTTGTTACACCTCCTCTACTGTGTTTGGAGGGGTGGGCAGAGAAAAAAGGTAAAATGAACAGACCTTTTTTTTTATGTATAAAACTTTAAGAAATTTTTAAATCGAATATTTGCTAAGAGAGGGGATTGAAGTTATTAACATAAGATTTCTAGATCTTCCGGGATCCCTGGGTGGCGCAGCAGTTTGGTGCCTGCCTTTGGCCCAGGGCATGATCCTGGAGACCCGGGATCGAATCCCACGTCGGGCTCCCGGTGCATGGAGCCTGCTTCTCTCTCTGCCTGTGTCTCTGCCTCTCTCTGTGTCTCTCTCTCTCTCTGTGTGACTATCATAAATAAATAAAAATTAAAAAAATAACAACCATAACTTTAAAAAAAAAAGATTTCTAGATCTTCAGATTTTACTTATCCATCCTACCTTCCATTGTTGAGAGTTGGCTGTATTTTCTTTTTCTTCACTCCTTTGCCTGATTTAAAGATATCTTGGAGCATTCCAGAAGTGTTGAATTCTCTATTCTGAAAGGGGCACACAGTGCTGTCAAGAGACATAAAGCTGAACCTTTCAGAGTAACTTGTGGTTCCAGAATTCTGATTCTGTTCTTTTAAACATCGGTAACTTAGCAGGTATTGTCTGATAACAAAATAGAATCCTATCTTTACCAGAATGCACCTAGGTTATAGATAGGCAAAGAAGAACATTGAGATAAATACAGTTGTAGGTGCAGAGAAACGAGGGAAAATATTTTAATGAGTATATTCTTACTTCTTCATTGACTAATATAAATAATATCAACTTGGTTGTTTATCCAAGTCAAATCTTCAGAATTAAAATCATGTAATTGAAAGAATTATCCTAATAGATGTTTTTATATAGAACTTACCTGTATGAGTCATACTTTAGCCAGGTCTTAGAATGACTCTTGCCAAGTTTTTTAAGTCCTACAAATAAGGAAGTACTTTGGAGGTTGATTTTCTTTCCCACTTCATTGGAGCACTATCATCGGATGTGTTATTTTGGGTTCATTTAAGCTTGAAAAGTAAATTAGTTTTGATGATATGTGTAAATATAAATTTTGATTTATTTTAAGTACCTGAGTTAAGATGTGTATAATTGTTCAGTATTATAAAAACCTACTTTTCCATAATTTCTAGTTCTGTACTTATCATTTTGATAGCAAGCATCATTAAAATATTATAAAAATAAGAATACTTACAGCCACAGGGAACAAGATTCTCCAAAGGACATCGTTCATGTCACGGATATGGGTAACCAAACTCCACAGCAACTGCTGGCAGTGGCTCATGGGGTGGGGGAGAACATCCGCACAGTTTGTGGTACGATTATCTAGCACGCTGTTGTTATCTGCATGACGTTGTGATCTCAGCTGTATGTAAAGTCTTGATCTTGTGCATGAGCTTGTGTACTTTGTGGCAGGTGACCACATTCTAGTAAAGGAATGTGCTAAAAACCATCTGTTTACATTAGGCTGTATTTCCCCTGCATGTACAAGTTATGTGTGTTGATTTTATTCTCCTAGTAGTATTATGATAAAGTAATTTTACTTATCAACCGATTAACTATATTCCTTGAGCTCCATTTAGTATTAAACATTTTCTCAGTTATTTTAAAATTTAGAATCTGAAAAATTGGAAGCAAACATGATTTAATTTCAGTATATTATAGGTTTTATTTTTGTGTAAATATGTTTAAAAATTTTTTAAAAAATAATATTCTTGAGAGGCCTGGGTGGCTCAGTCAGTTGAGCACCAGACTCTCGGTTTCATCTTAGGTCATGATCTTAGGCTCTGTGGGATTGAGCCCCTCAGCTGAGAGTCTGCTGGAGAGTATCTCCCACCCACCCCCCCCCCCGACTCACATGTGTGCTCTCTCATGTTCTTTCTCTTCTTTTAAAATAAATAAATCTTTAAAAAAATGCTCTCTTTGGGGTCAGGTAAAAGCAGTCTTTTTTTTTTTTAACCTATAGGCACATTTTTCTTGTCTTCATAAAGGAAGATGTACATGCATGCATACAATTTTGTGCATAATAATGAGATTGATCTGAGGTAGAATCTATTATGAGAAATATTTTAAATTGGACCTATGCACACATTTTAAATGGAAATGCATAAGCAATTAATTTTCAAGATAACATTTTGTTGTTGTTGTTGGGCCAGCTAAAATATAAGCAAGAAGTTTGTAGTTCTCCATTATAAAAGGGAACTCAGGAGTTTATACTCAGATATATTAAATCTTACTGACTTTTTGCTCCAGTATTCAGCAGCGAAATGTTCATTACCATTACTTCATAGCATAACAGTGATGAAAGGTAACTTTTATTTTTATTCTTAAAGATAGAAAACCCTGATTTGTATAATCAGAATGTACAGATAAGCATTTCCCAAATGTATTCTTTGCAGTGATTATTACGCTGGATAATGGACATCGTCAGAGTTCCTGAGTCTAATAAATTTGACCATGATAGATTATGATTACTTGTCTTATTTAAAGAGTAACTTTTCAAAGCCTTTAATACAT